CAGGCCTAAGCGTCAATAAAAGCTGAGCGAAGCTGTTTATTATTATATATAGGGGGGGCCAAAAAAAAAAAACATTTTGCCTATGTCGGACTTCGGCTCTTTTTTCTTCGCAGAGATTGCTGTCGTTGACGGGAGTTCCTCAGCAGAGTATTCCCTAAGTGTTCCTCTATTAGTGTACGCAGGCTCTCTTTCACTGCCCTCACCGTCTTCAGAATATGACGTCATCTGTCACCGTCGTCAGGCTCAAGGAGGTCTACCGTAAGAGCTTCAGCCTGAAGCTCTTACGCAATTTCGTGAATCGATTTAATGTTGGATAGTTTTCTAGAGGCATTAGCTACCACTGTGCAAATCCCCTCGGAACTAGCTTTCCAGTAAGGGTCGTTATGGTACACGATCCTTCGAAGACCCCATTGAGATCGACCAGTGCACCATGTTTCCAGGGCTAATTCTTCTGATGCCGTCCACGTACGTGGCCACTATGAAGATTTTCTTATAGAATGGAATGCACTCTTTAATAATAAGTTGGAACCGTTCGGTCTGAGTTGAGTAAAATGTGCTTAAATCCATCTGGAAGTGGAGGCAAAATGTCTTTTTTTTTTGGCCCCCCCCTGTATATAATTACGCGTTTATGGTACAACACCTAACGCGGGTACTGTTTGAGATAACTTTTGACACAAATCAGCACTAGAAGTATTGATGCAGCTAGATTTTTTTTAACAAAATGGGCTTTATTGAAGGCAGATGGTACGATATTCGGCCAATGGAAGTGAAAGGTGGGGGCGGGGTAAATGTTGCAGCAATGAGGAGAAAAATTCACGGAAACGGCTTCAAACACCGTTTCTTTCGCTTCATAGGAACAGCGACCACATAGAGTTCCTTTGAGCGTGCTAATCCCAACAGCCGGCAGTATGCCAACAAACAGCAGGCTTTTGTTATTATAATAACACATTACATATTGCGCTGAGGTCATCACTCCTCTGATGTAATTTCACATGGTGGCTCATTATTTACACCAGACCTTACGTATTACGTTTATTACTTGCTTGCAAATCAAGAGACCAATCAACCTGAACCTAGACTAAAATGACCTTGGGGCGTGACCGTTTCCTGAAATAGGGTCAACTTTAATTCTGCACCTCCCCCTGTGGAATGCCTCAAAACGGTGATCGGAGAACCGCCGAAACATTATGAATGTGGGGCTCATGACAAATACGAAAAATGACCGCTTGGAGTAAAATATTCTTTCGAATGCAAAGACGACAGGCTCCCAGGAGGCCCGTCGCGCGACAAGAAGAGGCAAGTCAGCGGACGAGTTGCGCGCGTACTGTAGGGATTTCGCGTCAAGTTAAATAGAATGTTCCATTGTACGTCCTACATCGCACATCACGCGCTGCGACTCGTCCGCGACTCTGCCTTCTTGCCGCGCGACGGGCCTCCTGGGGTACCCATCCCCCAAGCGCCTGCGGTTACCGTTCAGCCAGGAGGGCTGGGATCCCGAGGGGAAGGTCATCGCGGGTAGGGCCTTGCTAAGCCGCTACAAGCGTGCCTTTCGCCGCGGAAGCGCCACTTCTCTTTCTCGGGAGCACAGACTCCTTTACCCTTTCTCTTCTTAAACACAAAAATTAAGTAACATTCCGCACTAAAGGGAAATGAGTTAAATTGTGTCAGACACTTCAACATAAAACATAATGGAACTTGCATTGTGACACTGTGGGCCTTATACTTCTCTGTTTTGATTTCCAGATAAAGGAGCTCATCGATCAGACGATCCATGGAGTTCTCAAGAGTGTGAAGGGAAGGAGGCATCTGTAAAGCATATTGCAATGATGCTCGCAGAGAGGTAGCTGAAAGTACTCTAAATAAGTTTGTAAAGACGAAGGGAAGGAGTGAAGGGGATAGAAAGATCAAAAAGCATATCGGATAAGAAATACTCCTGATGGACATGGAGAAATTTTACTACGATCAGAATCCTTACAAGGAAAGGATGGTAGGTCGAAGTGGCCGTATAAAATGAGATGTATACCACCTGATGCGTCTCTAGACGCTGATTCCAAATCTGCCTTCCAAATCTGCTAAACGGCTCTCCGAACGGAGTTATGAAGCGTAATAGCTCAGTGGTGATGGTCCGGGGTGGGGTAAAAGCTCGTAGGATCGGTTCCTTTGCAAGTTTGTTGCTTTGCTTTTGTCCGCAACACTTCTAGAGACAAAAGCAAAGCAACCAATTTGCAAAGGAACCGATCCTACGAGCTTTTACCTGCCACCCCGGACCATCACCACTGAGCTATTACGCTTCATAACTCCGTTCGGAGAGTCGTTTAGCAGATTTGGAAGGCAGATTTGGAATCAGCGTCTGGAGACGCATCAGGAGGTATACATTTCATTTCGAACGGCCACTTCGACCTACCATCCTTCCCTTGTTAGCAGAACGGAGTTGAGCTGGGTTAATGGGTATTCATCAGTGGAAAGACAAGGAAGTTGTATGCAAGAGTCTGCGACAAGGGTTGGAGGTGCGGAGAGGATGTATAACGCTGTAAGGTAGCTAAAGTGAGTGAAATAATGACTGCATTCATTTCAGGTTCATTCACCCCATTCTCGACCCCTACAATGTAACATGTGCATGTTAAAGCGCAAGCGCTGCGAATTGAAACGGTGCTACGATGAAGGTGACCGGATGCTTCTAATGATGGAGTAGCGGATAGCCTGAAAGTGGCAAAGGAAAGCCAGCCGGAATATCTTCGAACAAGGACGGATGTGGACGATTGGTGAGCGGGACGGTCAATGAAGAAATTCATGCGAGAGATGCACGTCGTTCGAGAGATACGCGATTATCAGTTTGTGTGTGAAGCGTTGCAACGGGCGAGCAATGGTTGCAATTCCGTAGGTTAGCACCTAACGCGAACTTTTGCGGCGAAACTGGAGCAATCTACGTGGTAGGGACCTTACAGTTTCCCCCGCGGTACCTTTCCCACAGGTCGGACTAAGAGTTTGCCTTTAAGTAGAGCCATTCGAAGTGAAATTAGATCGCAGCACTATGCTAGAACCTGCAGCAGTACATGGCGCATCTCGGCAGTATTTAATAAGTATTACATTATTCTTCCTTGCTATACGCATGCATTTCATGTTTTAGTTTTGTTTGCCTTTGTAAAGGTTTAAAAATTTTGTTGCCATTGGTAACTCTGCAAAGGTAAATCTGCTAGAGGTCAGTCACTTCATCATATTAGGGTCATCCAACTGATCCACTGACCCACTCTCATATTTTGGTGCATTAATTAAACAGCACAAAAAGAATGTCATTTCCCTGGGTCAAAATACCTACTATACCCGGCTTACAAGGAATTTCGTGGTAGCAGGCGTTGCAACCAGGGTGAAAATCGTGTCGAGGACGTGGTCACATCAGTACGACCCCCCCCTCAGATCAGGGTCTTGATACGACCCCTCTAACCTTTGATTTGATGTGTGAATAAGCGAGTTCCATCAATGCACAGCAAAGCATTCAGTTGCAGCGCGTTTATCCGTGGGTCAGATTTGCCGAAACCCGCTCGAAACCGTCGAAATCTACACTCTCGATGAAAAGGTTCCATTCCCCATTTTACAAACTTCTGTAACAGTGTGTTGTACGATTAGATTAGCTACCATGCCAATACTGAAACCGATTCAAAATCTTCACATTCGAAGACATTGGGTCTCTCAAATTTTGTCGAGGGAGCGTCGAAGATGCTGGATTTTTCAAGCGAGTTTTTGCCACGCAAAAGGCAATATCTCTCACAATTTGTAGGCACTTGAACAAATGAAGAAAGCCTCGAAAAGCGGAAGCTTTGCGCTTCTTAACGGTATGTTCAACTTCATTCTATATTGTCTAGTTAAGGAGATATTTGCGTCGAGGATCTACAAGGATATTTTCTCGGCCGCTCAGAAGTCCTTCCGTTGCTTCAACGTTGCAGGTTAAATTCGTTTGCAACTCTCGAAATGTGTCTAGAATAAATTCTCCCTACGCAAGCAACAAGCAGAAAATCATCGTGCGATCTCGTCTCAGTATAGGCCATGTATCCGACCTCCACTCAAGTTGTAGAAATCTATTGAAAGGTGCTTACACATATGATGATGACCTATTGACAGGAAACTGTGTCGTAGTAAATACATTTCGTAACTTCTGCAACCTAAGGAACAGCTTCGTTTGCCCAGTCTTGGCAGAAATTTGCCGTTTCTTGCGAAGGCCCTAACACTGTTCATTCCAACGATTTATTAAGGCGAGGGAGCGGGCGGTGAGAATAGGGAAATGCCTTCGAGCGGTGTGCACAATGTGACCCTAATCCTTGCAAAGGATGCACTTTCATTCTTTGTATACTTTCAAATACTTCCTTCTCGAAGGTAGAGGACGGAGCGACTGAACCTGCAAAGAATATTTTATATCATGTTTTCTCACTATCCTTGTTTTCTGCTGCGCTACACCCTATCCCTCCTATCTGCACCACGATGCCACTGACGTTACTGACCCCACGAGTACGACCCCCATGACCCACCCTGACAAATACGACCCCCTGTCGAGGATTTCCTCGACCGATATTCACCCTGGTTGCAACAATTTGTGCAAAAAATGGCGCTAAAGCGAGAAATAATACGATATTCCTCATCACACTCAGACGAGGTTTAAATAAAAGATAAATTTGGTGATCTTGGGGTAGGAATAGTTGTGAGCGCTTCGTATCGCAGAGTATGCTGTCTTAAACGATTGAAAACGCTTTAAATTTTGAGGAACCACTAAGAGTGCAGTCTTTGTATCAATCTACTAGAATTCTAAAATGCTTCACTTCATTACATCTAAAACCTCTCCATTTCACCTTCCCCTTGCAACAGTTGAGGCATGACTGTAATAGGACTCAATATCAGGAACGCAGCCAACTTTTGCAACTCTCCCTGTGACTTGGATTGATTCAGCTATTGCTGGCTTCACAAATCGTTTTTCTCAACATACGAAGCGAGTGAATGATGAAGTGATGCTTGCGTCATCTGGAGGGATGCCGCCACCCTTGTTACAACGCGCACCAATGCTAACGCGAGTTATGGTAATAGCGATTCCGCGGCCTGCGCTTATCTGTTTTGTATATGAAGCCTTCGTCAACGTTTGCATTGCAACAGTGCTCACATTCTGTCGGCTGTTCTGCTTTTGCAAGAAAAGCAGGTGGGACAATGACACACATTGGACTCGTCTGATGCTGAAGTCTCCTGAGGTCAGTCACTCCATAACATTGGGTGATCTTAATCTGTCGAGGGTCGTTTTCAAAAGTCCACCCCGACACCACGCTTGGAACTTCATGGGAGGGTACATATAACACCCGAGCCGCTTGTGCTGTGCCTTGAACATAAAAGAAACCTTCGCTTCCGTTGAGGGTCCTGGCTCAGAAATACTCGAGTTTCGACGTTTCGTGAGTATCTCTTGCAGCACTTCATTCTTGTTAGCGTCACCGACCAGCTGTATTGCTGAAACGAAAACCTACAGGAAGCACAAAATACTACTAGCAATAGACAAGGAACTCAAAAAACCTCTTCAACATACCTAGAGGGTTCATTCCAACCGCAACGCATTGTTGAAAGCGACATGCTCTGCAGCTACAACGTCTATCTGAATTAAAGGCAAGATTCAGGATTGAATTATGAGTTAATTCCACTTAAATGTGAAAGTAGGGGTAGGTAGTGGACCGCCAGTGCAGAAAAGAGAAAAAGAAATCGTGAAATGCTTAGGAAATACGAGCCATTTCCTCTACGGTGCGGAGAAGTTCAAAAGGCCGGCAGGGAGATGAGAGATAATGTGAGCGCGGAGAGCGCTAGAGAAGTCTAAGTAGAGAGAGCATAGCAGATCAACATTCCGACGCAGACAAGATATCGAGCGGTGGGCGGAGCGTGTCGCAGCAGGTGGAGCGTGTCAAAGTTCTTAGCGCCTAGCGTCTAAATAACGGTTTTCGAAGTAGGGAAGTGACGCGACCCCTACACTTGCGTGCCTAGCGCTTCTAGCCACCGTAAAGGCTCATTAAGTGGGTCTGAGCCCGAACTTTGCCTTTAAACAGCTCTATCAGTAATTCCAGCCGTAGTACAATCTGTTTTCTTATACGATGTGATTGTGCAAGGAAGCTATATTCTGAGAAACGCCTTGCAAAGGTGGGATTTCAACTGGCTTCCACATCCTCTCTGACTGACTGGCCTTCGAGTAACTTGCACATGAACAATTCTGCAAGAGGCACTCAACTGATCAGGCCGGAAATCAAACGCACTATTTCCGAAAAAATCACGCCTGTTTTGCTCTGGTAGTGCTGCTAGCGCATGACTCGCAGCCACATTTGTAAGGTGAAGGATTGTGCTGGAGTAAGAACGAAGAACGAATACCCCACTGAGTATAGATTGAAAACAGCCAAATTCCTCATTAATCACGAAATTTTGAACAAAATCCGTTAGTCAATCTCTATATAAAGCAACGGTCAGGAGACAACTCTTCGATAGCATCACCTTCTACCATACGGATGCAGGCAGGACAGCATCTTTAACCTTCCATCATTACTAGAAGTTTCAAAACAAGTGCAAAAGCCACCGAAGAAAGCGTCAGTTGATGGCAAGTAGCTACCCATCATGAAAACTCGGCGAATGTTAGATGAAGATGATGTTCCAATGACTACTATTACTTTAGGTTTAACAATTATACATTATTTTGTTCTTGTATTTTACATAATTATATTATTTATTGTTATATCCTATTATAAAGTATCAATTACAAAGTATCGTGTTTGAAGGAAACAAGCCATTCTCCACTAACTATGCAACATCAATAATCTACTATCTCGGAGCTGTGCAGGTCTACCTCAAGAAAAAGCTATCGAAGTGTTATTCATAGTAAAAGTTCAGGATACGATTCGAGGTATAGGTAAAACTTTCTTTTTCATAAAAAAATCCATGGTAACATTTATGACTAACAAATGGTAGAGCATTCTCGAGGCTTCAATCCACGAGGTGGATATAAGTGCTGCAGTCAGTAGTTATCCAAGAAAAATTCAAAAAACCTCGACCACTAGTAAATCCATACTCCGAGTCACTGTCTAGTACAAATGTCTCCAAACTATGGATTCGTGTCAACGACTGACACTATCTGCAATAGCTTCAATAGGCATGCCGTTCAGCGATACAGCGTGTTTCACCTTTACCAGCGCTTTCGATCTTTTGATATTTTTATAAGAAGCCAGCAGCGTCCTACACACTCCATTACAGGAAGGGCTCTTACGGAAGCTCACTACAAATTCTTCGTTATGGGCACCATTGTGTAGGTAGAGGTCTAGGCTGCGAAACTCCAGAAGCTGGCCGAGGCAGCTCGTCAAGCCCTCGTACCGCGACAATATTTATTTCTTTCATGACATTGCGAATCACCATGATCCGAAATGAGGCCGGTAAGAAATTCTGGAGCTGCGGCAAGATTCTTAACACTCTTAGCTTTTTCATCTGGTCAAGCTGTAAACGACTGTCTCGAAATTGAGGTCGCCTCCTCTCTGACTCCCGCACTCCGCTGGGTCTTTGAAAAGGCGCATCAGGAAATTTTCTGAGCGTTGAAGACAAGTGGTGTACACTCATGATAGATATATGACCGGTCAAGGAGTTGTGAACAAAAAAGATAAAATATCAAATATTATTTGACAATTATTTAACAATTGCTTCCCCTAGGGACATCTGATCATTCAATAGCTCAATTTCTTGTTGATGTGGTCCTGTCACGAACGCCTATATGTCTACCCAGACCTGACTTTTTCCGAACGAATTTCACTTCTTTAAATCGCAGTTTTCAACAATGTCAATTGGTTACGAGTATTTGATGGATACATTTCGGCGTCAGATTTATATCGTAGGTTTTGCCTAGTAGTTTATGACAAGCTGGCGTCACATGTTCCCTTCAAATATCAGGGCCCATCCAGCCCTAAATTTCCTATTCATATACGTAACTTACTTGCTCAGAAGCAGCGTATTTTTGATAATGCTGTAAATGCAATGAATGATGTTCGCTACAAAAAAGTTTGCTGTGACATCAATTACCATCTCAAGAAGTTCTGGGATCACTATGAGCGTCGTTTGGCATCAGAGTCATCTACGAAACGTCTATATGGGTATATAAGGCAGAAAATGAAAGGTGATCCCCGTCTACCGTTTGTAGTGGATGCTCTTGGTCATAAGCACTATAACGACGTCGACAAAGCAATCGCGCTCGGCGATTTCTTTGCTAGCGTCTACTATAACTCGGGTAATACTACAAGAGTGATGACTGGGAGTGATATTTCAGTTCATTATACCTGTGATAACATTTACTTCCACCCTTCTGATATTTACAAAATACTGAGGTGTTTAAAGCCCTCTTCTACTGAACCCTACGACGGTATTCCTCCTGTGGTTTTCAAAGCATGTGCTTCATCACTCGCTAAGCCATTGGCACACATCTTTAACGTCTCTTTTGCGTTGGGGGAGGTACCTGATATTTGGAAAGAAGCATTGATCACTGCCATTCCAAAGGTCTCTGGCGCTCATTTGGTTTCAGAATTTCGACCTATAAGTATTACACCGACGGTTATCAAGGTTATGGAGAAACTCCTCAGAGTGAAGCTACTGTCCTGGTGTGATAAGTTCAAACTTATACCACCAGAACAGCACGGCTTCCTTAGTGGAGCAAGCACGACTACTAATCTTGTCGATAGCGTGTTTGACTGGCATATCGCTCTAAATCAAGGGAAATCCATTGACGTTATTTATGTTGACTTGACGAAGGCATTTGACAGAGTTAATCATTATAAATTGGGTCGCAAAAACTCGAGACGCTTGGAATAAGCGGATGCTTACTGAGCTGGATAACATCGTATTTGAAAGACCGGCATTTTACTGTGAAAGTCGGCAATGGTTTCTCTAATCGGTTTAATTGCCCCAGTGGAGTGCCACAAGGCGGGGTGCTTTCCCCTCTTCTATTCCTGATCTATACTATTGACTTGCCTAGAATCCTTAATATCTCTAAGAGCATTAGACTGCAAATATATGCGGACGATATCAAATTGTATGGGTGTTATGATGAATCTAATTGCGAGGAAGTTCGTAATACTCTCATGAAATCCCTCGAAAATCTGATGTTGTGGGCTTCCGACCTCGACTTGTCTATTAATTTGAATAAGTGTTTTGTATTTCACATGGGAAGAATAGCTGCTATAGATTATAGTGTGAATGGAGTCTCGCTGAAGAGATGCGATACTGTTAGGGACCTTGGGGTCATAATTGACAAGAGTTTGAATTTTTCCTCCCACGTGGAGCATGTAACCACTAAGGCTTATGCTTCACTGTTTTCCATTTTTAGAAATGTTCGCAGCAACAAGGCCCACATTCTTCTTCGTCTTTATAAATCCTATGTATTGCCACACTTAGAGTATGCCTCCCAGGTCTGGAATCCTACCCGCAGAAAAGATATTCGGAGGTTAGAGCGTGTTCAGCATACATTTACCAGACTAGTCCTTCTTCGGATGAACAACAGACTGTACAGGCGTAATTTACCACCTTATGATGAAAGGTTGCGAACTCTCAGGTTGAAAACTTTGCTTTATAGAAGAACAGTTGCTGACCTTGTTTTTGGATTTCAACTACTTCGTAAAGAATTGAACTTGACACCAAGTAAGTATTGGATTTTCAGGCCGAGTAGTGAAAGGTCTAGTGGTTTTAGCTTGCACTATCAGAACATCCCAAGAAGGATCCCTAGTCGACTTTTCGATTTTCTCTTATGTCGAGTGGCGCGATGGTTTCAGCGTCTACCCAGTGATGTTATGTGTTCTCAAAACAGTCAGGTATTCAGGAGCAGGTTGAAGAAAATTGATTTACTTCGAGTTTTGGGTCTTGATGATGCTTTGTGAAGTTAATTTCATTGCAGTATTTGCCATTTTGGCTCGCTTTTTTTGCTATCGTCGACACCTGCGAGCATCAACCCTGTGTCACGATCGTCAGTGAAGTTCCTTCTTCAGCAGTATTACGGCTTGTCTTCTAACAAGGGTCCTCCCACAGTATTTGTCTCCAGGCTGCAGTTTTTAGTTCTTTCTAAACCAGTTTTCTGTCTTGACTTCGTCCGTTTGTAGCTACATAGTGTGTTCTTTTCCTCTTGTACGGTTAGCTTTCTCTCTTCCTAGTGTGCTGTGTGGTCTTTATGCCTTCCGGCTAAATCGGTGTACCGACGATACCACTTTAATTCTACTCTTTGATTTGCACGCACACTCTGTTCCCTCACTATGCTCTGGTGGGTCGGAAATCAGATTGTTAGGGGTAGGGAATACCTAACATCCGAAAATCTGGTTTCGTGGTTCGACTTGCATGCCCTTGTGCTCTTGTCGAGTGGCGTTATCCCTAGCGCCATCCACCACCACTTCATTGATCTTATCTCATGAATTCGGAAAAGTTCAGAACAAGTGTGTGCTGTGCTTGCTCATACCTTGTCGGTTATTTGCTCAGGTAGCACCTTAAGGTTGGAAGTGTATCAACCGCTAGCATCCTAGGATTTCCTTATTAGCCTGTTTCCTCCCGCTTTCTTCACCTTATTGTGAGCGCCTCTGAGTACAAAATCGCCTAATTGAAGCAACCGTCGGTCTGTCAGTTTTGATTTATAATTTTGTTTACTTTGCGTTTTCGTTTCTGCTTCTTTTTATATTGCTGCCTGGTATTAGCCTTTTAGTTTCTAGAAATATTGCAATGGATTTTTTTCTGCTCAACAATGATATTTCCTTTTTCCCTCATCTGGGCACACTCTTGTGAGTGTATTTTAAATAAATAAATAAATAAAATAAAATCCATGACCCCTGAGAAACGTGTTGCAGGTCCTTTTTTCAACCTAATTATTCACAAAATTTCACATTTTCACGCAATCATGGTGAAATTTTCCCAAAAAAAGTAATTGATTCCGAGACCGATCGCGCAAGAAATTCAAAGTTATTACAGTTTAACGTTCAATGAAAAATTCATCAAGCTGCTAGCAAACTACTGTTATGGTAGCTTTAAACTTCTTGCATTGTTGATAGCATTTGTTTATAGCCAGTATCAGGGATGAACCTCGAAATTTAGAGGAAAAGATTTGTAAAGAGCTTCCTTATTCAACCATTGGGATACAGCATGACCATCACCTGAATCTAGGCGTTTCGACGACAACCTCTCCAAATCCCCAGAACAGAAAGAAACATGAACACGTGCAAACTTATTCGTTGCACTTGTGATAGGTGTGAGACTGTTGCATTCAATATTCACGACCGCCTAATTGACTGATTCATTACCTGTCTGGTGATGTTACGTTATAGCTAGTGAACCTTGTGCTAAATGAATTTGATTACAGTTTGTTGTACAACACAGATAGTTTCTAAAACAAGCGCATACCAAATCCAAAAGTGAAGTTGAAAAAATAAACGGAAAACATCAAACACTTTCTGATCATATACATACAAACGAGCGTTTTGTTTCATGTAGAAACTGCACTCAGTGAACTTCTTGTCCATCTTTTGAAGACGTCCGGAGTTTCCTTACGCGACTGTTAAAGCGCTCTGCGTCTTTTTGAACGTGGACCATCGGGAGCATTCAAATAACTTGAAAGTTACTGACTGGAAAGAACCACTTGGTAAGTATCAGTTTTCAGCAACCTTACTCTTGCTTGGAAGGATGTCTCCCACAGCATATGCAATTCTTGTCCTGAATCTTTCTGCACCCTCAGATGGCTGGTCTAGTAGTTGGGCATGACAACCCCAAATGCCTTCCGGCAGGGCAAATTAACGACTGAAGAACCGGCGTACTTCTAGTGCTGATAAGGCATACGTTGCCATCATGCTATTCGCGACTTTGTAGCATGTATTTACACGCTATATTGAGTTCCAGCGGACTGAGGTCTCGTCCTCTCTTTTTCGGCATGAAAGCAACTCCTTCCTTGGCAAAACCAGGTCGGAATTCAACTCTCAGCCGCTGAACAATTAAAGACGTGGGATCTCACTTTTCGGATTCTTGTCCGGAGTTCGTCGACAGCACACAACGATCTCGCCTCATAAACAGGGAGCATATATGTCGATACTGTTTGAAAAAGTGTGGAATGGGAGACAAGTGCTCAGATGCCGAAAACGAGTGTTGGTATTGCTCGCGAGTGAAGCACACCATACTGGAGTTCCTTATTCCGAAGAAGAAACACCATCGCGCCATCTGCCCGATACCTGACTCTAGAGATCGTGTCAGAGCGGCAATGCGAGAAGTCCGTGCTGATCTAGAGAAGCTCGAGCGCGTATCCCGCCACTAGCCACCATAGGTCGCCCGGGAGTGTAGCTAGCGCCACTAAAGGTTTGAAGTTTACTTGCTTATTTTTTATCTTTTACTTCTATTCAATCAATAATTCATTTTCATATTTGTTATCTTCTGGCTGATCTTGAGCGCTTACAGGATATGATTACATACCGAGCCCACGCCGCCGTCATCCGCTACCGTATAAAAGAGCCGCGCCTGAGTGAGCAATGGTTTTTTGCCTCCGTTCGCTGATCAAGGCTTGGACTGTGCCGTCGACTCCTCGTCCAATCTAGGAGAGCCCCCTCGCAAGGCTTGGACTGTGCCGTCGACTCCTCGTCCAATCTAGGAGAGCCCCCTCGCAATACAGGACCTCGTCCACTATCAATAAAGGAGCGACTCTCGAGCACGGCGCTTGAGTGCGAAGCTACAGACGAGTGCGTGGCGTAGTCTATTCGTATTCTATAATAAATATTCGTGGTACTTGTGTTCAGTACCGTTCATTTAGACCCGCGTGGCATATAGGAAGGCACATTAGGGAAAGAGGAACACCAATCCAGGAAAAGCTCTTGTCCCACAATTCGGAAATTCTCAGGCGCAAACAGTTCTTTTGCATTCGCTACATAGCCATCACCTGTTACGAACGAATGAAGTGCCTCCCTGCACTGACTTCTTCCAAAATAAATTTTAGGCTAATTCACACAATAATCCACATGTTGACATCCCTTCTTTCATTGATCAAGAAGTTCACTGGAATTTTGGAAAAAGTGAGAGTGACTGTTTTCCGTGCGTAGACAAAGAGTTATTTATATTGAATATGTATTTTCTTTGAAATCAATAAATCACAGAACTAACTTTAGAATTGAATTCAAACACAGTTTATCAGAAATTAAGGACCTACCTAATGAAGAGGCTGCTGCCTCTTGGACCATCAAAAGTGTGCGTGGAAATGGGCTGGCAATTGTAAAAATGTGCGCGGGTAACTTCCGAAGTTTCGAATCAAAACTTCCAAATCACAAAAATTCTTAAATGTAGAACTCTTGACATGGTTGGCATTAGCTGTTCCATCGAAATAAGCCATGCTCTCCGCTCTGTCAGAACAGAGGGAAGGCCATGATATTTTTACAAATAAGGGCCCGCAGGCAGGCGCTATGGCAGTATTTTCTATCACAGAAGACAAAACCCCATCCTGATCCGTTGATTCTGGAGGTTCGCGCCGCATAGCTTGTCATGTGCCGCCGAGGAGCAAACATATACAATCTAAGCGTCATGTATTAGGTTGGAAAGAAAGTTCTGCAACACTCTTTCCAAAATTTTCTTTTTTTCTGAAAAATTCATAGGTAACATTTATGACTACCAAATGATAGAGCATTCTCAAGGCTTCAATCCACGAGGTGGATATAAGTTCTGCAGTCAGTAGTTATCCAAGAAAATTCAAAAAATCTCGACCACTAGCAAATCCGTACTCCGAGTCACTGTCTAGTACAAATGTCTACAAAACCATGGATTCGTGTCAACGACTGACACTATCTGCAATAGCTTCTAATGGCATGCCGTTCAGCGATACAGCGTGTTTCACCTTTACCAGCGCTTCCGATCTTTTGATATTTTTATAAGAAGCCAGCAGCATCCCTCACACTCCATTACAGGTAGGGCTCTTACAGAAGCTCCACTACATACCCTTCGTTATGGGCACCATTGTGTAGGCAGTGGCCTAGGTTGTGGAGTACCAGAAGCTGGCCGAGGTAGCTCGTCAAGAGCCCTCGTACCGCGACAATATTCATTTCTTTCATGACATTGCGAATCACCATGATCCGAAATGAGCCCGGTAAGAAATTCTGGAGTTGCGGCAAGATTTCTTTCCTCTCTTAGCGTAATCCCCTGGTCGAGCTGTAAATGAAGTGCTACCTATCCTGGACCTTTAATCATCATCTTTATAACGAAATAATCAGACGATCAACTCCAACTCGAAAGTGAGGTCGCCTCCTTTCTCGACTCGCACTCCGCTGGGTTTTGGCGAAGGAGCATCAAGAAATTTTCTGAGCGATGGAGACAAGTGGTGGACACTCATGGTAGATATAAGACCGGTCAGGAGTTGTAACCAAAAAAGATAAAATTAAAATCAAAAATTTGAAAAAGTGTTGCAGGACTTTCTTTCCAACCTAATACACAGCACTGCACGGGGCTTCTGCTTGCAGGTAACATTTTGACACAAATCAGCACTAGAAAATATTGATGCAGCTAGATTTTTTAACAAAACGGGCTTTATTGAAGGCAGATGGTACGCATCTAAATTATTCGGCACCGATGGAAGTGAAGGTTTGGGGGCGGTAAATGCCGCAGCATGAGGAGAAAAATTTACGGAAACGGCCTAAACTCCGTTTTTTTGCTTCATAGGAACAGCGACCACATAGAGTTCCTTTGAGCGTGCTAATCCCAACAGCCGGCAGTATGCCAAGAAACAGCAGGCTTTTTGTTATTATAATAACACATTACATATTGCGCTGAGGTCATCACTCCTCTGATGTAATTTCACATGGTGGCTCATTATTTACACCATACCTTACGTATTACGTTGTTCATTGACTTCCTTTATAATCCAAGCCGGCACCAAATCAACCTAGACCTACGACTAAAATGACCTTTTCGTTGACCGTTTCCTGAAATAGGGTTGACTTTAATTTTCTGCACCTCCCCCTGTGGAACGCCTCAAAACGGTGATCGGAGAACCGCCGAAACATTATGAATGTGGGGCTCATGACAAATACGAAAAAAATGACCGCTTGGAGTAAAATATTCCTTTTCGAGCCAAGACGAAGACAGCCCCCCAGGGGGCCCGTCGCGCGACAAGAAGGCGAGTCAGCGGACGAGTTGCGCGCGTACTGTAGGGATTTCGCGTCAAGTTAAATAGAATGTTCCATTGTACGTCCTACATCGCACATCACGCGCTGCGACTCGTCCGCGACTCTGCCTTCTTGCCGCGCGACGGGCCTCCTGGGGGGTACCCATCTTCCACGCCTGCGTTACCGTTCAGCCAGGAGAGGCTGGGATCCCCAGGGGAAGGTCATCACGGGTACGGCCTTGCTAAGTGTCCGCTACAAGGCGGTGCCTCTTTCGCCGCGTGAAGCGCACTTCTCCGTCTCGTGTGGAGCTAACCACTCCTTTTATTCCTTTCTCTCTTCTTGAGTCTGAGCAAAAATTAACGTAACATCCGCCATTAAAGGGACACGAGTTAAATTTGCTGTCAGACAGCTTCAACAATAAAAACATAATGGAAACTTGATTGTGACAACTTGCTTACTTCTCTGTTTTGATTTCCAGATAAAGGGAGTGCTCAATCGATGCAGACGAGTGTCCTATGGATGTTCTCAAGAGTGTGAAGGAATGGCTGGCATCTGTATAAGCGTATCTGATGCTTGCAGAGAGGTAGCTTGAAAGTACTCTAAATAAGTTTGTAAAGACGAAGGGAAGGAGAGAAGGGGATAAAAAGATCAAAAAGCATATCGGATAAGAAATACGCCTGATGGACATGGAGAAATTTTACTAACAATCCTTAACAGAACTAGTTGAGCTGGGTTAAGGGTCAATCATCCAGTGTAGAAACCAAGGGGGGAGGGTCGTATGCAAGAGTCTGCGACCAAGGGTGGAGGTGCGGAGAGGATGTATAACGCTGTAAGGTAGCTAAAAGTGAGTGAAGTAATGACTGCATTCATTTCAGGTTCATTCACCCCATTCTTCGGACCCCTCTACATGTACATGTGCATGTTAAAGGCAAGCTCTGGGATGAAACCGGTGCTAAGATGAAGATGACCGGAGCTTCGTAATGATGACTGAGCTGCGAGACGGCCTGAAAGTGGAAAGGAAAGCCAGAGAAATCTTCAAAATGGCCGGATGTGGAACGATGGTGAGGGCAGGAACGGTCAAAGATGACAAACACGCGAGAGCAATCACGTCGTTCGATCAGATACGGGGCCCGATAAATCAAAGTATGTGTGTGAGCGTTGCCACGAGGGTCGATTGGTTGCAGTCCGTAATGGATTTAGCACCCTAACCGGCAAGTTTGCGGCGAACTGGAGCTCTCGTACGTAGTGTAGGGACGCTTACAGTTTTCCCCCCGGTAATCGTTTCGCCACATGGTCGCTGCTAAGATATTCCTTTAAGTATGATGCCATTCCGAAGTGCAATTAGATCGCAGCTTTGGCAGGCAGTTACATAGCGCATCTCGCAGTATTTAATAAAGTATTATGAATATTTCCCTTGCCTTATTACTGGCACGTCTCCTTCAGTTAGGGTTTAGTTGCCATTAGCAATGTTAAAAAGTTTTTGTTGGGCGCATTCAGGTTCTCTTCAGTTCACAATCTGCTAAAGCTAGTCAACTTCTCAATATTGGGGTCATGCCAATCTGATCCACTGGAGCCACTAATCACATTGTATGGCATTAACCCTTTGGCGACAATGGCACCCACCGGTGGGTGCCACTATGACCGTCGCGTGGGACAATGGCACCCAATGGTGGGTGCCACCCTAAAATTTTCTTCTTTACCCATTTAAAACATTTTCAACATATCAGTAATTATAAGCAAGCTCCGTTACGCCTATGTTTAGCATATTTTGCAGAAATGTTTGTTACTAGCTAATTTATATGAAATTTTAGGATATGGCACTTCGCTCGGCGATGTATTAACTAGTGTTTTACATTATTAAGCTTAAGGTGAATTACAGATCAGGACCTCTACGTCTTTTCACAGTCTTAAGACACAAGGAGGAGTTTGAACTATATCAAAATTCTACTGTACATTGAACTTCTAGAGTTTTCAAACACCATCCCTTTGAAATCCGAGATTTCTTTCCAAACTTCCACTTCTAATTCCAACAATACATGATCATAAAGCTTAAGACTGCAGTCATATTTTGTTTATTGTCATAGTCAAAATTTTGATAGAAAAACTGCTTTTAGGGACAATTTTGCCCACGTCCCATTTTGTGCGAGAGTTGGGCGCGCCAAAAAGGGCGTGGTCCGACGAGCACGCTACGTGCGAAATCCGGCATTGTCGTCAAAGGGGTTTACAGCGCGTCACAAAAAGAATGTCAATTTTCCCTGGGTCCAAAATACCCTAACTATATCGCCGGCTTATCAGGGAATTTCGCGAAGTAGCGTTTGCAACCAGGGTGAAAATCGTGTCGAGGACGTGGTCACATCAGTACGTCCCCCCCCCGCTCAGATCAGGGTCTCGATACGACCCCTTTAACTTAGATTTGATGTGAATAAGCGAGTTCCATCCAATGCACAGGCAAAGCATTCAGTCGCACGCGGGTTAGCCCGATGGAACAGATTTGCCCGAAACCCCTTTCAACTGACGGGTGGCAGATTTTCCCCCGCTTGACCGTCGAAATCTGCACCCTCGTTGAAAAGGTTTCCATTTCCCCCATTTCACAACTTTTGGAGCAGTGTGTGGTAGGGTTAGATAGAGCTGGATTTGCTACTACCGGGCAATATTGAAATTGATCTAAAATCTTTACACTCGAAGAGATAGGGTCTCTCAAATTTTGTCGAGGGAGCGTCGAGGATGCTGGAATTTTTCATGCGAGTTTTTGCCACTTAAAAGGCAATATCTCTCTAATTTGTAGGAACTTGAAAAAGGCAATTTTGAAAAGCGGAAGGTTTGCGCTTTTCAACTAGTCTGTTCAGCTTCATTCTATATTGTCTAGTTAAGGAGATATTTGCGTCGAGGATCTACCAAGGATGATTCTCGGCCGCTCAGAAGCCCCTCCCTGCTTCAACGGTGGGTTAATTCGTTAGGACAGCTCTCGAAACCAGTGTCTAGAGTAAATTCCTCCCTACGTAATGCGGCAATCTAGAAGGCTAACCGTCATCGTCCGATATCTGTCTCAGTATAGGCCATGCATCCGATCCTCCACTCAAGTTGTAGAATCTATTGAAAGGTGTTACACATATGATGATGACCTGTTGACAGAAACTGTGTTGTAGTAAACACATTTCGTAACTCCTGTAACCTAAGGAACAGCTTCATTTGCCCATGGTCTTTCCAGAACTCTTGCCGGTTTGCGACAGCTCCCTAACAACTGCCTCATTTTCAACGAGGTATTAAGGGCGAGAGAGTGGGCCTAGATAGGAAATGGTGCTTCGCAGCGCGTGTGCACATGTGACCCTTCTCCTGCAAAGATGCACTTTCATTCTTTGTAGTACTTTCAAATGCTTCCTTCTCGAAGGTAGAGGGACGGAGCGACTGAACCTGCAAAGAATATTTTATATCATGTTTTCTCACATAACCTTGTTTTCTGCTGCGCTACACCCTATCCCTCCTATCTGCACCACGATGCCACTGACGTTACTGACCCACCATGAGTACGACCCCAATGGCTCACCTGACCAATACGACCCCTCTGCTGAGGATTTTTCTTCGACCAATATTCACTCTGGTTGCAACAAGTTTGTGCAAAACTGCACCGAATGGCGCTAAAGCGAGAAATAATACGACATTCCTCATCACACTCAGACGAGGTTTAAATAAAAGATAAATTTGGTGATCTTGGGGTAGGAATAGTTGTGAGCGCTTCGTATCGCAGAGTATGCTGTCTTAAACGATTGAAAACGCCTTTAAATTTTGAGGAACCAGAGTGCAGTCTTTGTATCAATAACTACTAGAATCTAAAAATGCCACTTCATTTACTTATCTTTAAGAAACCTCTCCATTCACCTTCCCTTGCAACAGTTGAGGCATGACTGTAATAGGACTCAATATCAGGAACGCAGCCAACTTTTGCAACTCTCCCTGTGACTTGGATTGATTCAGCTATTGCTGGCTTCACAAATCGTTTTTCTCAACATACATACGAAGCGATGAATTATGAAGTGATGCTTGCGTCATTTGGAGGGACGCTGCCACCCTTGCCATCAACGCCGCAATCAATGCTACGGCGAATTAATGGTAGTAGCGAATGCCGCGCCGTGCGCTATCTGTTTGTACATATACCTTCTCAAACTTTTGCCATTTGGGCAACATGTGCCCCATTCTGTCGGCTGTTCTGCTTTCGCAAGAAAAGCAGGTGGGACAATGACACACATTGGACTCGTCTGATGCTGAAGTCTCCTGAGGTCAGTCACTCCATAACATTGGGGTGATTCTTAATTGTCGAAGGTCGGTTTTAACAAAGTCCACCCGACACCGTACCACGCTTGAAACTTCATGGGAGGGTACATATAACACCCGAGCCGCTTGTGCTGTGCATTGAACATAAAAGAAACCTTCGCTTCCGTTGAGGGTCCTGGCTCAGAAATACTCGAGTTTCGACGTTTCGTGAGTATCTCTTGCAGCACTTCATTCTTGTTAGCGTCGTCCCGACCAGCTGTATTGCTGAAACGAAAACCTACATGAAGCACAAAATACTACTAGCAATAGACAAGGAACTCAAAAAACCTCTTCAACATACCTAGAGGGTTCATTCCAACCGCAACGCATTGTTGAAAGGCGTATGCTATTGGATGCTATAAACGTCATCTGGAATTAAAGGCAAGATTCAGGATTGAATTATGAGTTAATTCCACTTAAATGTGAAAGTAGGGGTAGGTAGTGGACCGCCAGTGCAGAAAAGAGAAAAAAAATCGTGAAATGCTTAGGAAATACGAGCCATTTCCTCTACGGTGCGGAGAAGTTCAAAAGGCCGGCAGGGAGATGAGAGATAATGTGAGCGCGGAGAGCGCTAGAGAAGTCTAAGTAGAGAGAGCATAGCAGATCAACATTCCGACGCAGACAAGATATCGAGCGGTGGGCGGAGCGTGTCGCAGCAGGTGGAGCGTGTCAAAGTTCTTAGCGCCTAGCGTCTAAATAACGGTTTTCGAAGTAGGGAAGTGACGCGACCCCTACACTTGCGTACCTAGCGCTTCTAGCCACCGTAAAGGCTCATTAAGTGGGTCTGAGCCCGAACTTTGCCTTTAAAAAAGCTTCTATCAGTCATTCCAGCCGTAATACAATCTGTTTTCTTATACGATATGATTGAGCAAGAAAGCTATATTCTGAGAAACGCCTTGCAAAGCTGGGATTTCAGCTGGCTTCCACATCCTCCCTGACTGACAGGCCTTCGAGTAACTTGCACATGAACAGTTCTCAAGAGGCTCTCAACTGATCAGGCCGTAAATCAAACGCACTATTTCCGAAAAAATCACGCCCGTTTTGGTCTGGTAGTGCTGCTGCAGCGCATGATCGCAGCCACATTTGTAAGGTGAAGGATTGTAGCGAAGTAAAGAACGAAAGAACGAAATCATCCCACTGACTAAGAATTGAACAAGCCTGCTGACGAACCGAAATTCCTCATTAATAACGAAATTTTTGACAAAATCCGTTAGTGTCAATCTCTATATAAAGCAACGGTCAGGAGACAACTCTTCGATAGCATCACCTTCTGCC